CGAGAGTCCGCGGCGCYGAACAGGCTCGACGAGCCCAAGGACGGGCGGAGTGACGACGTGGGGTGGGCCCCTCGTTAGTCTCGGGGCTAAGCAGTCGGAGGGACTGAGCAGTGGTGGGGATTGGATGCCGGCCGCGGCAGGGCCTTGTGGCTATGGTGGTCGGTGTTCTTGGGAAGTTTTGAAGGCTGCGCCTGGGGGCCGCAGCTAATTGAAATTTTTGTGTACAAGAAGGACTCGCTTTTATCTCCATTGCTGCTTTGTCCATGCATGTCGTGTGTGTGAAGCCCCGAGTGATGGGAGCTGGTTGTGCGTACGAGTGATGGGAGCTGGTTGTGCGCACGAGTGATGTCGAAGGTTCATGGATGATTAGATGTCTTGTCAAGAGTTGTTGATTGCATGCATGTATGTGTGTATGTACTCGTCCGTGCGGGGATGGGCAAGCTGAACTGGGGGACCGTTTGCTTAGGAGTATGAGTGTGTTGATCCGGTTGTTCCCCTCCCCTCCGCGGCATTTTCTGTGCTCTCGCGTGGTCCCAGCGCAACTCACCCTCTCTCTCTCCAATGCTTTCCTTTTTGAACTGATAGTCTTCGCTTTTGGAGCTTCTCGCCCCCGTACCGGTGACGTCAACCGCTTGCGTCCGTGCGGACGGTCGACGCCCCCACGAGGGGGGAGAGCTTAGACTTTGTCGTCTTCCCTCGACGCACCCACCTTAAAGAGAGAGGATTTGCGACGACTATTGTATGGATTCGGTGTTGGTTCGGATGACTGGGAATGCGGGACCTTGCCCGTGTTCATCACGTACCTCCGATCGTCTCATCTCGCTACCGACCTTCCCCATCGCAGATGACGACAGCGTCTATTGCGATGCGGACGTACGGCGTGCGCTGAGGCGGACAGAGCAAGTGTGTTGGCAGGACCCGCCTTGAGCTTGTGAGATAAGGGGGAACGGGTTTGTTTTGATTGATCGTTTTGATTCCCCGACTTTAATATTGCCTTATACGGGTTTGACGGTGTTGCCCTGGTCGGCCGCTCATGCCTCGTGGTGTCGCGAGGGGGACTCGTGTTCTTGGCAACAGCTGGTCCTTGGTTACGAGGGAGCGACACGTTTCCCCGAGTTTTCCCGTAGTGCGGGGGCGCTGCCAGCACAATTTCGAATTCAGATGCCGGCGAGTCCTCCCGCCGCTTTACCCTCCAGGAAACTTTCGCTCGGACTCTGTGAGTCCGACGCCGAGGCTTGAAGGCCTCGAACCAACCACCTCCGCAGCAAAGACCCGAGGGTTCGGCCACTTTGTGATGTCGATGATGAGGCCTGAAGGCTTCGAACCCGCCACCTATCCCCCAAACCCCTGACGGCCGAAGTTTTGTCCTCCGCCGCCATGGTCCTCTCCCCTTGATGCCTTTTTCCGTCCTGCTGCATGACGGCAGTTCATTTTTGCGGAAACCTTTTTTTTGAGTTTATCGTTTTGGAGTGATCCGACCCCCACGGGACTCCGCGACGACAGTTCGACTCCAAGGAAAACCTCTGGCACGAAACGAGGGCCTCCCGTTCGGTCCGGGAGACTCAACCCTTACTGCCAAAAATCCTCGGCCACACCCCTCCTAGAACTCTGATCGGCGACCCCGTACGGGAAGCCACGAGGGGGCGTGAGGTTGGTATCAGAGCTGATTCGTTTCGGCTCCGAGGTTTTCCTAGGACGATTACCCTGTTTTAAAGTTTCTCCTTTTTCTTTTTGATCTTTTCATTAGATTTTTCGCATTTCTGAGCAGGCTGGCTCCCCGTCGACGGAGGCCCGCGAAAAGCAATCAGAACCGAGCGAGAGGCCGGGCTCGAAACCCGCCTCCCGTGATGGTGGAACCCGGAATTGGGAGTGAAAACGACGGCGACAACCACGCGGGGATGGCCAATCATCCCCTGTACTTTGTACCTCCTCCCTCCGAAGTTCCCATTTTTTCTGAAGATGACACCGATCCTCGCACCTGGCTAGCTGCTTTGAAAGCCCAGGGCTGGTCGGACCAGTGGCTCCGAGGACGAATTCCCGGAAGGTTAGCTGGAACCGCTTTTGAGAGGTACAGACAAAACCCCTTCACTAATTGGGCAGCCTTCCAGAGGAAATTTCTCAATAGATTTGATCACATAGCACCAGGTCAATGCCTCCGTTTAATAAAGGAATACACACAGGAGCCTCGGGAGACCTTGGCTAGATATGCTGAACGTTTTACGTACCTTGCTGAACGCTCCGAGGTGGATGAGAAAATGGTACGGACTGATTTCGTCAGAGGACTGTCAGATTCTCGTCTGCGGAAAAAGATCCGCAAGAAATGCAACCCTATAGAACATACCCTGACGGAGCTAATTCAGTACGCAATTAAGTACGGGAAAGAAAATTACGATGTGGGCCTGGACTCAGAATCCGACGAAGATGACCCTTCGGGTGTTCGACGCAATAGCTACTCCGCTACGGCATGAATGTTCGAAGATCACTTCCGGTTGGGTCTGGCAAAAAAAGGCTCGGATCGGAAAGCTTCTTCCTCTGCTTCGGCCTCCCGTCGCTCTAGTCAAACGCAAGGGGGCCGGTGTGAGGAAGAAGTATCCATGAAAGAAGTCGCGGCACAACTAGTTACGGTAGTAGCCCCGTTGACGGAGTTTGTTCAAGGTCTACAACGACAACGCATAGCCACCGCACAACGGCAACAGGCGGCTATGGCTGTCGGAGCCCCTATGATAAGAACGGCCGTGGCCGGGGCTGTCCCACCCCTACGCTGTTATAACTGTAATCAGCCAGGCCACCTTGCGAAAGATTGTCCGAAACCCCGAACTCGGGGCGGGCCCACCGGACCTTCCCAAATCCCGCTGGCTGCTCCCACTGCTGCAGGACAAGGGAGGGTAGCCACGGTGATGGACACAGGAACGACGGAGATGGTGACCCCAGCGGCCACTGAGATAGGACCTGATGAGTATATGGCGGCAGCAATGTTCGAACCCGGGACCATCGGAGTGATACGTCACGTCCAACGGATTACCGAGGAAAGCGACCTCAGGCTGTGGCGACCAGAATTCGAGGATCTTGCAGTACCTGGTCCTTAATACAAGGATGGCCATATCGACGTATTGGATGCCTTGAAGGCTCTGGATCTTCGGATCCCCGTCCCTATTCCATATCTGCTAACCATTTCCGAAGCGGCTAACGAAAAGTTGATCGAACGGTGCCTCAAAAACAGGCGTTGATTCGAGGAAAGTTGAAAAAAAAAGCCTGTCCTACGGGACCCACCCACTAACGAGGAGTCACAGCCCTCGACCTCTGAGGTGCACGAAGCCAACCGGATATTGATGATCCAGACCGTAGATTCCGCCTCGGAAAAACCCGAGGTATTCCCCCGGGCCTATCCTATAACCTGGAAAAGCGTAGAGTGTGACTGTGAGGTCTGGGGAACCCCCTCGGGCGCCATCCTAGACTCGGGATCATCAGCGGTCGCCATTTCTTGGAGATTGACGAAACAGTTGGGAAGGGAAGGACAGGTTCAGCCCCTCCGGCCGGATGAACTGTATATATCCGCTACGGAAGATAGTATTCATTGTAAAGGGCGAATAACGAACGTGCCTATACGGGTGGGGCGGGTGCATTGTTTGTGTGACGTGATCATGCTGGATGTACAGGCGTATCATGTGCTGCTAGGCATTCCGTGGCAGGCGGCGGTCGGAGCGCGAATGCACTTTGACAGCTGTAAGGTGGTGCTCACATCGGCCCACCCCAAACCCCAAACGATACCAATGAGACTGGCGGTGCGCATGCGCACCCAGCCGGCGCCTCGCCTTACCACGAAAGCCCATCAAATCAACATGATCCGACGTCTGTCACCAAACGAAAATGAGCCCTCGACGGAAACTGACAAGACTGATGTACCCGGCCGATATCCGATCCGAGTTCAGGATCGGTGGCGCCATTCTTGGCGGCGAGAACCACTGGAAATAGTTCGGAGCGAGTCCAATTGGTCGCCCGCGTTCTCCTCCGTGGTGCAGGGGGAACCCCTGCTGAGGGTGTCCCGAATAGCTGACCTTTCGGAACCCCCTGCGTCCTTGTATCTCAGGACGGACCCCCTACCTGAAAGATTTACCGAGCTGAGGTGGCTGTGCGATTTATCTTTTCGACCTCCACGGCCCCTACTCACGAATGAAAAAGCCGCGATACTCCTGAAAGAGGGGGTGTCGTTTCAACCCCGAACGAGTGAGTATCGGTGGGGACCGAGGGAACTCGCGCAGGCCTTTTCAGTCGAACCCTCGGCCGAACCCGAACTGGACAGTGACAGTGACATGGAAAGCCAGCTGATGAGTCCGGCGGACAGCTAACTTATTGCGACGGTCCTTTCGACAAAAACCGACAACTTTGTTTGGGGCCTCGCCCGATGCCAACGTGGCGGTCCCCATGGTTACGACGACGGTCTCTTTTCCTGGGGGAATCGTAGAAGTTCATTTACCAGCCCGTGTTCCGGACGAATACAAACGCCTCCTCTTGGCGGTTACACGGGCCTATCCTGAGGCCGTCACTATTCAGGACCACGACATAGGGCTAACCCCTTTGATACAACACGCGATTGACACCGGGGATCACGCCCCAATACATTGTTGACCGTACCGATATTCCCTTAAAGAAAGGCAGCTGGCGTTGGAAAGGGTACGGGAATTCGAGCGGTTGGGGTGGGTCGAACCATCGCTGGGACCATGGTCTTTTCCCATGGTCCTCGTGCCAAAACGAAATGGCTCGGTTCGGGTATGTATCGACTACCAGAAATTGAACGCCATCACTACCAAAGATGTGTATCCCTTGCCGCGAATCGATGATTTGTTAGATGCTATCGGGGCCACTCGAGTCTTTTCCAAGTTCGATATCCGACACGGTTTTCACCACGTCGCAGTCCGACCGGAGGACCGATCTAAAGCCGCCTTTGTTCTGTTTGAGGGCACGTGGCAATGAGTCCGGTGTCCCATGGGAATTTGTAACGCTCCTGCAACTTTTCAGCGGGCCATGAATATGGCCTTCGCTGAGTTCGTTAACAAAACCCGACTGACCCAGCCCCCGATCAATTTCTGCGTGATTGTGTACATGGATGATATTTTGGTCTTTTCAAAAACACACGAGTACCACGTAAAACACATTGAGTGGGTTTTGCATGCACTGAAAGATGCGGGGTTCAAAGTGGCCTTGGAGAAAAGCGAGTTCTTCTTGTCGGAGAATTTATTCTTGGGGTATATCGTCACGGTCGACGGACTAAAACCGGATCCGAGGAAGGTGGCAGCAGTTCAAGACGCCCCGGCGCCGGTCACACTCACCAAGGTTCGGGCTTTTCTAGGGATGACATCCTATTACCGACACTTCATCAAGGGGTTCGCCGGCATAGCAAAGCCCCTCACGAACTTGCTGAAGAAAGAGGAACAACTGATCTGGATGCCGGAATGCGAAGCGGCGTTTCAGGTGTTGAAGGAGGCTCTGACATCTGCTCCTGTGTTGGCGCGCCCCGACCCGACAAGACCGTTCGCACTGTACACAGACTGGCAGCCTCAGGCGATATCGGCGGTGCTGACTCAGCACGACAAGGATGGAAGGGAGCACGTCATTGAGTATGCGTCCAAGACGCTGAGCCAGGCGCAGGCTAATTATGAAGCGTGCAAAGGTGAATGCCTGGCGGTGGTGTGGGGGATTCAGCATTTCCAACCGTATCTGTACGGCCAGAAATTCGTGTTGGTTACGGATCATCAGCCGCTGCTGTCCTTACGCAACAACACGAACTACACGGGGACGCTGGGCAGGTGGGCGGTGCGTCTACAAGACTATGACTTCGACATCTGCCACCGTGCCACGCGGCAGCATGGTAACGCCGATGGATTAACGCGCCTTCTGCCGCCCAACAAGTGTCCCGCCAACGAGCGACTCATTCCGTGGAGGCCAGAAGTCGCGGCGATGAAACTGCACTACGGGGAGCTACACGTGCGGCGTAAGGACGACGCTTGAGTCCGGAATGGAGGTTTCGTCGGAGACGGCCGACGCTATCTCTCTGCCCTCATCCCACTCCCTCGCTCTCTCGTCTAGCCCCAACTCATCCTCTGAAACACACCTAAGTCCCTGTTTCTTCTGTACCTTGCCTACGATCCCGGACCAAGAAGGGTCACATCCGGGAGGGCCCAATTTTCTTTTATGGGTACAGTGTAGTCAGTGTCATACGGTCAAATCTCACGGACAGCGCGTTAGGTACCGAAGTGAAAAGACGTGGGTCTGTCCCAACTGTAGAACGAACCAAGTCCCTACCGTTGAACAGCCGACGGATTTGCGCCAAGTGCCCGCAGGGCAGAAGCCTGGACGGACCTTCCGTTGCTACGGAGACTGTCAGGCGACTCGTTGTCAGAACTTACCAAAGCCGAACGGCGGAGAGTCACGGAGCGGGCGTAGGACTATCGCTGGCAGGGCCCGACGTTACAAAAACAGAAGGTCGATGACGACGGAGAGTCTAGCTGGTTGACGGTTCCACACCCTCTTGCTAGGTTCGATTGGACACGAGCCGCTCATGAGGAGGATGCGGTCCATTTCGCGGTCAAGTACACGGAAAAAACCATCGAAAGAATGGATGGTACTGGTCGGGAATTCGGGAAGATGTGAAATACATCGTTCAGAATTGCCCGGCCTGCGCGGCGGACAAGGCGCTGGTACAGATGCCTCGGACGATGATGCCCACTCGTGTAGAGCGCCCCTTTCAGAGGGTTAGCATTGATACGACGGATATCAACGTTCCGAGAGGGTTGTCGATCAGGGAGAACTCAATGTTCTTTTAGTGGCCGTCGATCATTTCTCAAAATGGATCGAGGCGTACCCTATGACCAGCCGGAATTCGCAGGAAGTAGCCTGGTACGTAAATCGATTTTTGTGCATTCATCTAGACGTAGAAGAGGTACACATGGACAATGGGTCGGAATTTCAAGGCGAAGTAGAACGTCACCTAGTCAGGGCGGACGTTAAGATTATCTACTCGCTGGGGCATTGGCCTCAAGCCAATGGCCTGGTAGAGAATGCCAACCGACTGATTAAGACGACCCTTAGACGGAATATCACTGCGGGAGACACCCGACCCTGGCCGGTAATTGTCGATCACATTTTGGTCTTTTATCGGGCTACCCCACACGGTAGTACTGGGGTGTCCCCCTTTCAACTGAGAACCAATAGTGTCCCTCAGGTGCAATTGTCCCCCTTAGTAGGTACGGAAGTTAGAGCAACACGGGCCCAGAATCGAGACAAGGCCCGCCACTACATGGACTTAATGGCTAGGGCCTGTCCCCCGTTAGCTCACCGTCGACAGCGGGCCGTAGATCGAACACATCAACGACAGATCCATGACTACGAGAATCGACACGCGTCGGCGGGACCACTGCCCCACTATAAAGTTGGGGACTTGGTGCAGGTACGGAAATTTGCGCGTTCCTCCAAGATCCACCCGCGCTACAGAGGCATTTACGAGGTCACGGAAGTTGGCGCACAGGGACAACACTCTGTGAAGCTGATTCCCCGTCACAACTCCCAGGCCTGACCGCTGACACGGCACGCTGCCGCGCTCCGGCCCTTTCAGCCATCGCTAGGTCCTCTACGGACCCCCGCTCCTGCGAGATCACCCTCTCCTTCTTCATCCTCCTCCTGATCAGCCTCGTCCATTGGTGCTGAGAGTTTCAGGGAGCAAGATGAACCATCGCCAGCCGGAGCATGATCCCCTCGAGCACTTCCAGACGCCGCTTGCAGATCGCTTGTTGCGGCATCGGTTTAATGAGGAGAGGCAGTTGCGGTACGACATCCAACAGGTGAACGTGCCAGTGCCCGGGGTTGCTGATTTGGAAGCGTACTCGTTGCTTTGCGATCGGCTGACATATGCGGGAGTGTACGTGGACGTGACGCAGTTGCCTGGCCGGGAGACGACCCGAGTATTCATTGAGTTCCGTGCGCTCCAGGTGGCACCCAACTTCGTGCACAACGTCGCCACCTTCATCGGAGACTTGACGGTCCTACCGTAGCAGAATCAGGAGCCGGCCCGCAGCTTTGTGCGCGAATACGCGGTGGAAGCGGCCAGATCAGTGGCCAGAGTGCAAGGACGGGGGGGACACCGATTCACAGCCCACGAAGTGCTGCTGCGTAGGGCAGAGGACGGACCGATTGCGTTGGTGTCGCAGCTCCCCTCGCTTTTCCCTCCCGCTGCTCCTCTCAACCTCCAAGCTATTCCCCTGTCCCGTACTAAATGCCTCCTTTCTTCTCCTACACCACCCTCCCCTACCATCTCACGGAGGACCCTTACCCCATGCGCAAGTTCTCGGAGTATTTGGTGGAGCTAACTGACGTGGAGCCGCTGCCCTTCGCCGACGAAGACGAGTGGGAGTTGCACCGAGCGCTGTACAAGTTGGTGGCGCTGGGGATGTTCCGGTTCTTCGTGGATCACTAGGACCACGCTATCGAGGAGCACTTCGTCGTTTACTACGTCATCGCGCGGCCCAAGCCAGCGGAGAAGGAAGGGACCGTGGCGCTGTACCCCTTCGCCCCGCTCCAGACAATCGATGCGGGATTGTTGGAGCTCATACATCTTGAGCTCCTCTCCATTGCGCAAGTGATCGCGAGCGAGGAGGAGGAGATCCAACCACGATTGCGGATGGCGACGGCTCCGCAGAGAACGTACAACGTGGTCGTCATCCCGGATTACATTGCGCAGCGCGCGGAGAGATTGGAGGACTTCCCGGAGGAAAGGGCGTTGTGTCCTCCCTCGTCGTATCCTCGACCAGCGCCACCGAAGGCCCCCAAGAAGACGCCGAAGAGGAAGAGACGCCACCCGTCGCCAGGAGCGCAAGGCAGCAGGATCGGTGGCGGCGAGGAGGTGATTCAGCCCGCGCGTACGTAGATTCCTGTCCCTGTGCCTGGGAGTGCGGCGACGCTCGTTAAGGAGACTATCGTGCCATCGCCGCACATTCCGCGTGTGCCCGATCTCAATCTGGATGGAGCCGGGCCATCAGCAGCAGCAGCAGCTGGAGGAGGAAGCCGAACGAGATTTCCGGATCCCATATCCAGACCCCCCGTCCTCGCGGGACCTCTCCGTTCCCGCCAGCCACCCTGGGGTGCCCCGGTCATTGACATTAGTAGTTCATCCGAGCCGCACGGTCCCGACTGAGGTGGACTTCATGGTGGAGCGCCACCATCAGGCTCGAGGCCATCGCGGGGGCGCCGCGCCCCGATCCGGTGTGGGAGCCATATCTGACACCCCCTTTCCAAGGGTGTATTTCGGCGCGATTGGCTGGGACGCTCATGTACGAGACCGGGCAGCGTCCAAACGTGATGTACCACTTCCTGGTCTTCGTGGCGCAGAAGCGAGAGCGGCGGCCTTACACCGAGACTCATGTGGTGATGACGGGTCCAGGGCCCCAATCGGTGCGCAATTGGGTGGTGCGAGCGGTAGCGGATCTGGCGCCCCGTGTCCTCTCACATGTGTCGGGGGCTTTCCTTTACCCCTCATTTGTCCAGCATCACTTCCATGAGGGAGATGCGCCGACGACTCCTGCGGCAATGACCGCTTTTCTTCCACCTTTTTCGCCCCCTCTCAATCCCGACATAGATCACTTCCTTTGATAACCCTCGTCTACCTCTCCCCTGTCCTCTCCTTCTCCTTCTCTTCTTTTTCTTCTTCTTTTCCGGATCTAAAGCTCGCGCGACGATACGCGCTGTATATAAAAAAATAAAAATAAAATTACTTTTACTTACCGATCGGGCCAGCTGACGATGAAGGGGCCGCCCGATCGAATGTATACTATGGGAGGAGGCGATGGAGGATGCATGATGCATCCACGTAGATTAGGAAGATGATTGGACCAGCTGGCGATAAAGAGGCCGCCCGATCATCCATGATATTATGACATCAGCAGTCGGGAGACTGCTAATTTTCGGAACCCCCTGCGTATCACAGATGTGATAAGCTCAGATCCGTACTGTGCGGCTTGCCGTATCCCTGGGGAAAAATCCCGCGGAAGCCCCGAAGTATGGACGCGGATAGAAAGGGGTTTTTCTTTCTTTTTGCTTTTGTTTTCTTTTCGAAACGGCTTTTTCATTTTGTTTGGTTAATAACTCCCGCGGGCGAATAGCGGCCGTGGTATGAAAACCAAAAAACAGGTGCGGTTGGGACTTTTTGAATTTTTGCACGCGCGCCCAAGCTCCGATTTCTTCGCGCGTATCGCATCCGTGTTTCTTGCTTTGCATCCTCGCGCCATCTTTCCTTCTTGCTGCGCGCGTTTTCCCCATGCAGGACTCTTCGTCTTCCCCTGCGCCCAGCTTGATCCTTACCCCGTCTTCCTCCATGAAGTGATTGGCTGCGTAGTTGGGATGCTCGGATCAATGTGGAAAGCGGGAAACCGTGAACCACTTGGACGAACACCCCAATCATGTAGCCATGCAATCCCGGGGGTCAAACCCTCTAACTCACCACCTCTCTCTCCTGTCCTGCTCATCTACACCCTGCGCTGCCCGCACCTCGCGCTGTTAACCCGCCGCCTCCCGCGCTAAAAATTTGCACAACCCTCTCCTCTCCTCCTCTTTGATCTCGGCTGCAATGCTGCGCGAGCTATGCGCGAGAGTCCGCGGCGCCGAACAGGCTCGACGAGCCCAAGGACGGGTGGAGTGACGACTTGGGGTGTGACGCGCGGTAGTCTCGGGGCTAAGCAGTCGGAGGGACTGAGCAGTGGTGGGGATTGGACGCCGGCCGCAGCAGGGCTTTGTGGCTATGGTGGTCGGTGGTCTTGGGAAGTCTTGAAGGCTGCGCTTGGGGGCCGCAGCTAATTGAAATTTTTGTGTACAAGAAGGACTCGCTTTTATCTCCGTTGCTGCTTTGTCCATGCATGTCGTGTGTGTGAAGCCCCGAGTGATGGGAGCTGGTTGTGCGCACGAGTGATGTCGAAGGTTCATGGATGATTAG